CCTATATAGAATATGCATTTTTAAGACGAATCATAGGTAAACAATCATGTAATTTTGTTTACTGCTGGATGTGTTTTCAATACATTTAATGCCTTTAATTTTTAGTTAAATTTGTTTCTGAGAACAAATTCGTTAGAACAAATGCACTTGTTTATTTATATCGTTGTTATTTCTTAAAATCCCGCTGCAGAGTAACTTCAGTTGTGCCTGTGTTTGATATGCATTACATGATTGTATCTGCGTGCGGATAATATCTAGTCTTCCATGTAAAATCTTCTGTAGGCGATACATCTTTAAAAAATGTCAACAGAAAATAAATTTCCTGCCTCTATCTGTACTACACCGTCAAAATGGACTTTGCATTTTCTCATGCCGCTTATAGAATGGCATATTCATTCTTATGGTGGAGTTGAACAGATTTAGTTAATTTATGGATTTGCATACTTACTAAGCGCTGTTTTTGTAGATGTGGCCACTAGAGAAAAACCATGTATTCACGTCTGAACTGCGTGTTCGTGACGTCCATCCGTTGAACTTAATGTTCCGAAAAGCTTACCTCCATCTTTGTTGTGGGTCCGTAGAGTTTACTGAGAATTATGGGCTTAAGTGCCCGTCGGCCTGTGACTTAGAGCTTTCCCATTAACTGTTAGTACAGCATTATGACACGGACACAAGTCGGGCGGTGTGGAATCTGTGCTTTTTTTAAAAACCTTGGTGATTAAGTTGTAGAATGCTTGTTTAAAATTGTTTTATCCGCAGTCGTAGCTCATATTACAGAGACTTCTTTACAGTATTTCCAAAATACCGATCTCATTTCATGACGTATTCTCTTAAGTTGAAGTCTTCTGGTTCGTATTACAAAAATGTGAAACAAACCCTTAATTAGTTCTAAAATTAACTTCGTATCAAAATACCTTGCAACAGTAATAGTGACTGAATAAATCTTACGTTTTTTAAATACTCTGTATTTACAGTAAAATGACAATTGTCTTCAGAATGTTAGAAATTGAGAATAATTTTAAGCAGAGGTTCGAACATATTGACTGTACTGAGAAGTATAATTATACTTACTTCTTGAAGATGGCTGTCTTCCGGGTTATTGCACCACGTAGTCTGGCAAAGCGTATCTACGTTTCAGTGGTGCTTCCTGCCTCCATCATCAGGGCCATATCCCTGATGATGGAGGCAGAAAACACATCTGAAACATCGGTAAACTTCCACCAGATTTCACTGCGCGACAACTCTTCTGACAGCCTTCTTCATACTCGCCGCTGTGAGAATCTGAAGTCTCACATGTTTACTTCTTGCGTCAACATCTAGGCCACAGCAAGATTGTATGAGGATTCAGTTCGTGTGGCAGACACTGAGTTAATTAAATTGCAGTGGGGTGACTCAGTTGTCGCGTTTGCTTTGAAAATGTATTTCGGTTATATTTCCAATGCGAGAGTGTAATATTACGCGTATAATGTAATATGCATGTGAATAGGAAGACTGACGTTCTGGGAGACTGAGAGGCAATGCAGAGAACAGACAGATAACTGACCTGAAGCAGCATTTGCAGCCCCCCCACACAGTCACGGGGTGACTTGTGGTTCCTTTCAACTGTGGTTGTGTAAACAGAGGGAATTAATTACGTGTATGTTAATCCCAGTGCAACTTCCAACTGTTTCCTTGCGTCAGAATCCAACTCGAGCATGTTGGCTCATGTGTTTAAATGTCATAACAGAAACTACCCTGTCTTTGAAAGTTCAATGTACCTAATTGAACAACAATCAGAATGTTCCAATATTTTAAAATACAACACATTAATACTATATTTTTGTAACAGATATTATAGATTATATTTCAACTATCTAGATCTTGGTCACTTAAGGAACTATTCAAGTTCTAGTAAAACATTATGATTTTAAGATTTGTCCGAAGTTATGTTGTTAAATATTTCTCTTCATCTACTTAATTAAAAACACATACGTTTCGGAAGCAGGGTCAGTTCCCGAAATACTGTGTGTTTTTAACTTAATAGGCGACGAAAAATGTGTAGTAATATGCATTAGTTTAATTGTCATTTTAAGTTTAACAGAGTGCCTAACCCGTAAATGGAGACGAAGGAATAAGATTTTAGCTTTGGAATTTATTATAACTTTAACGTGTGTTATAGGCTTACATTTAATCGTTATACTGTTACAAAGAGTCTGATGATAAATATTATTGTCAAAATATGTCTCTGCGCGAAGCGTCTCCACTAGAAAGATTGGGGAAATAATACTTCTTTGTTTTGAGAATTGCACGAAGCCCACAAATATGCTCTGTGGCCAAACGTAGAGATACAAACTGTTAAAACAGGTGGCATGTATAGTTAAATGGTTAAATTAAGGCCAGGATAATCCAATCCGATTTCAGTCTCATGATTGATTGCTGTTGACAAATGCACTGTTGGAATTTCATCTGCAATGAATATAGATTGATATTTAGTCACTGTGTAATAATTTATTAATTCGTTACTTACGTGGGAACTAATTTTTTGTTATATCATTGGTTTGTTTCGTGAAATTACCCATGAAATAGCGATGACTATCACGTAATAAATGGACTTCTCACACAACTCTGTAATTTAGTTTAATCCAAGTGTTTTCATTTAAAATGTTGAAGATATATAATATTATTATTAATTTTTCACAAATGCTGAAAAATTGTTTGGGACCAGCGTTAATTAATGAAGATAAAGATAAGCCTTCACACTGAATTAGTAATTTGCAGTTAAGTATATTCCGCAGCTCTTCACGAACCTGTGAAGACAAAACTACAGCCCATTTTTAAACTACCAATAATAGCATGGAACTGTCGGCGCCGAAGTGTGCCAGACATAATTTGTCTCATTAGCCTCTGGGCAATGTTTGTTTAAATCACACTACATCTGAGAATAAGAATTTAGTAGATTAACTTTCTAGAATTGATTCTGTCCTATTTCGCTGTTTACAGTAATATATTTATCTCTGGTATTAAGGGAGAAATAAATAACACATTTCTAATTCTATGCTTCAAAATCCTATTTATATTGACAAAGATAATAATCAGTATTCCTTGTAACATTATAATTATTTCTTACATAATAAATAAATGTAGGGTTTTATCTACTCAATTAAACACGTATTTCGTTACAAGATTTCTGTTTCAAGATATTGGGAACACTCAATTTAACATTTACAAATACGAAATAACTTTTCTTGTAATTATCACATGTGAACATTCTTATTACAATTTTATCCAGATTTGTTAAATTATAATGATTTAAATAGTTGTGCTGTTTTGAAACGATCAAATAATAGGAATTTTGAAGGGTATGTGAATATAATATAACGCAATTGATAATTTATTTTAATAAATGTATATTCAAAAAGTAAATGTGACCCTATACAGGAATCTTGGATCCTGTCTGTTAGTTTTCGGTATCCCTGAATATTTTATGTCATTCTGACGTAATAAGAAGATATATTGTGTATAGAGGGTCGTCGATTACATTTAGTTACATATATGTTAAATGATTTTAATATATCGAAACGTCAGTAATTTTACTTCGATACACGTACTCATACGCTGTAGTATTTTGTTCCCTACTATGTAATATCGTGATTAGACTTCATGTGACTGTCTGTGTTTGGTATGTGCCAACATTGAGCTGTTTCACTCACAGATTCTCAGCTGTCGAAGAATAAAAACCGAGCTTTTACATGTTATTTCATGGGATATCTTAGCAAAATATCGGTACTTTATAGACATATTATGAATACAGAATTTAGAGTTCATTTTCTGCATTTCCTTCACACATTCGTGATATGGATTGAATCCAATCTGGTACAAGATGGACGTCTACTCCCTGCAGGGCTGACTGTTGTCATAGGTAAGATGGTGCCAGAGTGTCCCGGTTCACATTCTGCTAGCACTAGTGTCTGTATATCCATTGCAGATTTGGTCTTCCGTGGAGGGTTCATAGGCAAGGTCACCATAGTAGCCGAGCTTCCGACGAAAACTGAGTTCTGACGGGGTCTGTGCAAGGTGTGTATCGGTTCGCCGATGCAGTTCACGTTGAATTTGGAGAAAGTGCGGTGCTGGAAACAGAAAGTAAGGCGTTAGAAGTTGCGCATAGCCCTCACGTTGTAGGAAAAAATATATTTGTCCTAGTATGTATAGAAATTAGTAGAGTATTAAGCTCTCATAATCTCCCCACGTGTACTATTTACCCCGTCCATGTCATCCTCCGTGATTTTATCATCCTAATGATATTTGGTGAACAGTTCAACTTATAACCATATGAAAGTGCGGCCATTAAGTTACCCACAAGTTAAAATTTAAGTAGTTATAAATTACCATTCGAACGATTCCATGTCTTGATCCTCAGTCTGTCGAAATATGTTCAGAGATCCCATTTGAATTCGTCAGTACTGACTTTCTCGTTTACCCCTGCCAGCATGATAAGCGTGAACCACACAAGTCCGCATACAAGAGTAGTTGAGAAGCCTTGTTGAATACATCCCTGTGATATTGCATGTAACATATAGACTTCAGTTATCGGCTTTAAAACTGCGGTACATATACCAATAGCTCGACAATGTCTTGATCATTAAAGATAAGCCATCAATAACCACGTTTTAATCGAAAACTGCAGTATGGATGAAGAAGGAATAAGAAAATTTGTTTTACGACGTCGATGTTGATCGTCTAGGTTACAACTCCACGTGAACGTGTAGGTAGATACCAGCGTTTTGGTGGAACGTATTCGTTCAGCCCTGAAGTTTGATTCAGTGTGTTCCGCCTCCAAAACATTTGTTTCTAAACGGCGTTACAACCCAGAAGACAAACACGGAGATCTTCACCGCAGTTAGAAGATCAGGTATTTGTTTATGGTGGCCTTGTGTGTTGTAACGCCGTGTCTACTTCTAGCTGGGAACATGCTGCCTCCACCTTTAGGGCGTCGCAACCTACAAGACTACCACAGACTTCTTCACTGCCGCAAGAACGTCAAATTTCATAAAAATATATTTGGTTAATAGAAGTTCAAGTACTGATTAAAGTAACATTTTTTTTAATTATAGCATTTGTAGAATCAATGTAGTAATATTATCGTTGAATTTAAGATTTGTTACGTAAAGCAGGCATGAAAACTAGTATATGTGCAGGACTACTTTGAGCAGTGTAAATGCAGTGCGTGTGCTCAGAGTGACGCTACTTAACGAAGTTGACAAGTGCCAGTGCAGAGTGCGACTGAACCCACTCAAACAAGTAGGCCTTCTCCTGTAGATCCACTTGTCTTATTACAGCCTACAGACCTATACAGAGTGGGTAGGAAGTAAGTAGGCATTAAATAATCGCTATAGGTTTATATAGAGGTTATAACCATTTCTCAATGCCTACCTACTTCCCACCCACTCTGTAGAATCATTTTGTGCACTGTTACTAATTTGTTTACAGCCATTCTGGTCTGTTTCTGCCTAAAATGCTACCAAAGATTTGAACATTCATCTGAACTTATCTGTATGGAATACGGTCATTAATTGAATGAAACTTTTAGAGTTTACTTGTGCGTGTAAAGCGAAGGGGACATCACCCAGCTAATCCTCAAAGTAAAGTTTAAATTCGAATTTGCGTCCATAGAAAGACAAACAAATTTTCACAGCGCTCGTCGAAGTTTTTGAAGATGATTTTTATATACAGGGAGATTTTCCCAGTAAAAGTAGTTGTTATTTATCATGTCTAAAAGAAAATGTTTATGTAAGTCTTACACATGTGTTCCATTTACCGCCACAGGGTCCTGTTTGCTCTAAACGAAATAGACAACTCCCCCCTCCCCCAAATAAAAATCATATTGAAAATAGTTGCATTCCTTCAATACACAGTCTCAAACTTCAAGCAATAGAATACAGACCATTGATTCATTCGGAAGTTTGAACGGTAAAGTACAGAAAATATAAAAACAAATGCTAATTATTATAATGATACAGTGTAGGTATTTCTCGTTTCGGTCGAGGTCCTGGACTAAAATGTCGGCTCGGACACCGTATATCCTGACTGAGGTTTCTGTGATTTTCCTCAGTTTCTCCACGATTATGTCAGGATAGTACCTCAAATTAGGTCATGGCACCTTCCTTCAATATCCTTTCCATTCACTAATTATCCTGCATAACGCCATATTACTTCAGCTATTGACAGTGTTGTTTAAAACCACAGATTAGTAAATATCGCTGAGAAACAGTGTTTGAGACTACAAGAACTCTGATAGCGTCAAAGCACTTGTGTGCAGTCCTTAGTGAGCGTGTATGTGCACAGAATACAGTTTATCAGCGTGGAGCTAAAATAATGCAGAGGACTGTCTCCGCTGAGCATGTCTTTAGCCTCCGCACCGATATACTCACCACCTGGACTGTCTTCTGGCCAGCTCTCGCCATGAACCGCACTTCTGTTTTTCACATGATCTAAGAAAGGCTTCGTATCGTCACATGATAAACAATCGGCATGGCGCAAAGGATCCGTTTGTCTAGCACCGTTAGGATCGTCCATCTAGAAATATTCAGAGGACGATGGCATTCCGCGCCTGTTATGTCTGAACACACTAACCGCCACGCTTGTATGTTTATTTTACTGTAAACCTCGCAACCTGTGCTAATTATACTTTGTTAATCGCTCTTTTATGCATTAACGGAAGTACGTATATGTATATTTCTGCTGTATTATTTATCACTGATATTGTTA